ATCAAGACGAGTGTATGTGACTATATTATTATTTAGTTATTATTTTACTTGGAATCCTCATACCAGACTGACACGACAAGAAACCGCTCGACGTTTCCGATTACTTCAGCACTTACTAGACAAAAGCTCTAAACTTCTAATTAATTACATAAGACTCATATACATGACTATAATAAGGCCTATCTGGACTTACGGAGTTGAGCGATGGGGCTCCACTAAACCATCGAATTCCTCTAGTATCCAATCTTTACAATTCAAAATCCTTCGTAAAATCCTCAATGCTCCCTACTTCGGTACAAATAAAACCGCCCATAATGACCTTAATGTTTCTTATGTTTCAGATCTGGCACATTCCACATACCTATCCTTCCATAATAAACTTCAGAATCATCCCAACCCTCTCGTTTCTTACCTTGCTTCCTCTTCAATTCCTGTAACCCTCTGAGGCGTCTGAAAAGAAGCTGGCCCCGCGATCTCCAAATGTTATTAGAGTGCTGATCGGCGGATCTACTCTCTTCCTTTAATAGTACTTATCGTTGTTAAATTCCCTTGGTGATTTTAGTATTTATGATTCTGAATACGATGGTGCCTGAGATTATTTGTCATGGCATCTTATAGTGCCCAAATATGCTTATAATGGCTTCTGTGAGGAATATTTTAATAGCTCCTGTAATTGCAACGCTTATCATCCTCTGAACTTTCTTCAGGCTCATTTGTATGTTTCTTTCCATTAAAACTGAATGCATGAAATGATATGAAACATAATTTTATTCTGAGACTACAGTACCCTAAGAATAATAACAGAGTTTATGGGTATGGGTCTTAGTCTGACTTAGAATAATACAAAATAAAAACTAATTATTTTGCAAATCTAATAATTTCAAAGCCATCATTGGTTGATTACTTTAGGAGATTATCAACTGCTTTAGTCACAGGAGACATTAGGAAACCTCCTCTGCTGACAGCATTTTGATCATGAGGAGCAAATAAGGAATGTTTTAGATACTAAGGGAGAGTTTATTGAGGGAGTTATTCTCACTGTCTAACACTTCAAGTGATTTAATATCCAAGATTTCAAATATTCTTTGTTATAGAATCAAGTTATCAATCTTCAAATTAGCAAAATTGTGAATTAAAGGAGTTGGTTTTTGACCACCACACGCATCAGAATATTATGTCATAATATTATCTGCAAACACCGATATCAATGTCACAAGGAAACAGATAAACGGCATAACATAACGATATTTATAAGCTATTTCAATGCCAATGTTACTGAATGGATGGTAAAGAGACTCCCATAATGTCCACCCGCTCTCGAATCATCCCATTGTATTGTGTTCAGCAATCGTCTAAGTCACTCCAGGCGGTTATGACATTTAATCAAGTCGTAATAGCATTCGTCTAATTATTTTGTAACAAATGCAAAATATTTTTTTTCCTCTTCCCAACCAGACTTCTCATTTGATATCTTAGCGATACATATTCAAATTATTTATAAATAAATATGTGTTAATAATAATGTAACATATATGGTATAAGAGCTATACCGTAATTGTGAAAGAGTCAAGAACGGAGCGCCCACCTACATCTTTATTTTATAAAATTTAAAAGATAACTATTATTGGTACTCAATACTACTAAATAAGCAGCTGAATTCACATAATAAAAAATATAAAATAATTATATAGCTTGTTTTTTTTTTAAATTTTTTTATTGAGTATTATAACAATCTGTCTTTATAACTGTTTTTAAAATAATTTATTGTCAATTGATTCTTAATCTCTAACAGTCGATGTCCACTATTACCGGAGTGAATTTCCTTCTGTCAACAAAATCTACGCAGAAGCTCACAAATACATCCTCAACACAGAGTAAACGGACGTTGAGTTTATTTGTTTGCTTTGCAAACAGAACGGTTGGGCATCAAAGGCCGCTTAACCATACTTGGATGACATCACTCTAGTCCCGGTTCGATAATTGCTTGTTCATCATAGTTTACTTTAGTTTCACCATTTAAAATAAACACATGACCATTTAATTTATGAAATCGTACGAACCATTTGTTTAATTTTTTTTTCTAAATGTACATTAGAGAACTGCTATTGTAAAAGTTTACTGTTCATGTCTTAAGCGTCGACGGTTATAGTCATATCTGAGTCTACACTGGTTTTCAATACTCTTTGAAGAGAATCACTGCAGTGCTCGGGGATCCTGCTTTACCATCCACAAAAAGAGCTTCAATAATATGCCTAATAATCCTAGAATACGACTTCAACGTATTCTCTCATAGACTTGTAGCGGCTCTGTACGGAGTCCTATAGTGGTCCTGTACGTAGTTCACGCGCCAGCTACGAGACTGCGCCACCACATGACGCTCACATCACCAGATGGTTTCTATATTTTTGTTTTTATATAACTTTTATAAAATGTATATTTCTTTCATTGTAAAACATGTATTGTAAAAATATGTTTATTTTACTAAATAAAGATGAAGGTATATAAATCAACTGATAAAAAGATAAGACCAGAATAATCTGGTACGACTCTTGTTACCCTTTTTTCGTATGAAAGAATGATCTCCTAGCCCTTATGGCTCTAGGATTATCAGTCATCTACTTATCGATATGTGATTTATATACCGTTTCTATTATTGCCTCACATTGCCTTTTTTTTAAAGAATTACCCCTAACCTTTTTCCTATTCTCTCTCCATACAAGTCTGGATGCTGATCCATCCATTTGTATTCCTATATACTAAATCAGAAGATTGATCCCTCCGTTAGTATTTCATCCTCCCACAAGTCCGGAGTTTGATCCCCCTGGTTGAGGTTACCATCCTTGGGAGTGTTAACCTCGATCTCTTACACCGCAGACTGAGAGTGATTGGGTGTTGATCCGCCTGTCACTTAAGGTCATCCTTCTATTCATCTTCCTTTATCCACTCAGTCATCTTACCCCTAAATTAAGCAACGCTCTGTCAAGGCCTTCTGGTAACTGTTTGCCACTATACTATACCTCTACAGACTCCTGCCCTCCAACATACGAATGTCCGTACGTCGCATATTCTCTAACAGTTAATCCTTTCAACGAGCTTTTGGCCGACTCTTACTCTTGAATACAATGATACTACTCCCCATGGTTTTCTTCACTTGCTTTTCCTCACTCAACCGGTAAACATGCCCATTTATTATTACATTATTTAATTTTATTGCATCAGATAAGCGCAGATCCTCTAATAAATTGTCAGTTTTTTTTTTTTCAAAAACTTCATCTTCCATTTCATTCACACACTCCAACATTTTTTGTAACACTTTCCTTTCAAACCTATCATATCATTAAGGAACCTCGTTAAGATCTTGGTAGATTTGCAATATTCATGAAGATTGCTATACAGGTTGGTAGGATTCCATCTATATTCATTTTCAGTTCATGCCTAGCTTCTATATGTAACCACTGATTTAATTAGGGATTTACACATAATTGCATTAGTGCTTAGTGATACCCTTGATACTCTACATCAGGCTTCTTACTTCTTCTTCTTCATTGACAATAAGTGTCATTACAGTACCTAAAGGCAGACGCTACTCCAATACTTTTACCATCCATGACGTAAAAAGAAGAGTGTTGTCTTCTTACTCTTCCTAATATCATTAGTTTGGTCTTCTCGATATTCACCTCCTCTTGCTTTCCCTGTCAAAGCTATGTTCGATTGCCAGCCCACTTCTCACTATAATTGCTGCACCATCTGCATATACCATTAATTGAAGAGATTTATTCATGGTCCTAGTCTTTCCGTCTAGATTTGGTTCAGTCAGTTCCCCGTTTGCTTCAGTCATTAAGAGCGTCACATTGCAATCTTGGTTAGATGAATAGTTAAATGGGGATTTTGATATCTGTCATGGCTATCATGTAGGTTCTGACATACACACCTCTAAGATCAATAAACAGTCGCTATGTCACCATATTACCATATATTTTTATCAATTTTTCTAAGAGAAATGATCTTATCCAGTTCTCCGGTAAGATTTAGTTCATATTTATACTTTCTGACGTAATTATTTTTTTATTTATTTATAAAACAAAACCATTTTATTGGCGTATTGTTAACCCTATATTACTTTTCTCTCATGTGCACGTTATATATTTTATATATTTCAATTTCACGGCCACGTTTAATTATTAAATGAATACAATTTTAATTATTTCAATATTAAATAGTAAAACTTTCCTAAATTTGTAAATTTGACAACCATAAAACTTATAGCTGTCCTTGGAAGTAATCAAGTGGAAAATGAGAAACTCGCTAAAACTCCAAGTATGCCAGAGCAAATCGGCCTACAAGTAAATGGAGACAAAACAAAAGATATGGTAATAAGCCAGAAATTCCACCCCAATAACAGGATTTTCGTAGAAAGAAAATCGTTTCCAAGAGTAGCAAAATTCAAATATCTTATCTTCACAATAACCTCAATGAACGACCAACGGTCGGAAATAGAGCAGCGTATAAAAAGCGCAAATAGAGCTTTCTTATCCCATTTAATGTTATTTAAATTACCCAAAATGTCATGAAATATCCAATTAAGGGTGCAAAATGCTTTGATAAAGCCAGTTCTAACAAATGGAAAAGTGATACCTGAACACTAACCAGCGTCCTGAGAAAAAGTAATGAAAAATCCTGCGCACGATAATCGGAGCGATCTGAGATCAGAGTACTAACACATAAAGAAGAAAGTCCAAGAAAGAGGAGCTTACAGAAACTGGTCAAACAATATCTCATGATATGAAGGCACGGAGATTAAAATGGGTGGTTAGGGGTGGTTAAAGGTGGTGGCCATAGATCTACAAGGTCTATAACGCCAAAGAAAAAAACATTAGAAAGAGGAGATTACCATTTTTCAAAATCTTGCACTGAATAAACAAAACTAGACTGTCCAAAAGGATATTTGACAACCTGTGGAACAAGAAGACTATTCATGGATTAAGGAATTTCGTGATGATCTAGAAAAGTCTAACAGCAGAGAGGTTCAGATGGTGAATAGGGATAGGGATATCTTTCGGACCATGATTTTGGGATGATTTCGAGTCCAAAAACCTGCGAGGACTGGAAAATGCTGGACAGATGAACGGAAGCAGCAGAACAGCGTCCCGAAGCAGTACTGGAAGAAGAAGAAACTTCATACGAAAGAATAAATGAAATTTTATCGTAATCCAAAGTGGCCAATGAGTAAGTAAAAAAAAATGTGCTAAGTCTAACTTTCTCAGTTGCTTTAATTGCTATTTATGATCATTACATTTTTTATTTGATATACATGTCTTTGCATTAGAGTTACCTATTAATAAAACTGTTAAGCAGAAAAGGAATAATCGATTAAAAATAACAGAAGAATCTGATGATTGAAATTAAGTATTAGGAATCGAACGTCTTCAAAATGTAATGACAATCAGTTAGGGAGGGGCCCCCTCTACTCCCCCCCCTCCGGAATTCTCGTGATAAAGATTATACGACAATATCACGGTTCAGCGGTCAAAAGGGCTCGATGACTAACGAACGGTCCAACATATCCTTCCAATTAGCGAAGTCACACCCCATTTCAAGGAGGATTTTATGTTGTCACGTCCGACACCTTGGGCTCCATGATATTTAATAGCTTAAGGCACACTTATATAATGTATCGTTCTCCTGCAATAAGAAGTATATATTTAAAAAATTCGATGCCGTTTTTTATATTATTACATAACATCCAATAAAAATTTGTTAAACAAATAATTTTTATTTTTTTACCTTCACTTAATTATACAGGGTGAGTCCGGAGGAACGAGATGAACCTTAAAAGAGGCTTGCATACAGGAAAATAATTTAAACAATTCATCTGTTATTATCCAATTGTCATTTGTTTAGACTGTATTGGCTTAATATAAGTTAAAAAAAAATCGCAAATAAACAATATTTTATACATGTATTAGCATTTCGGTTATCAAAATCTTATTTAGAGCTTTGCACTCGGCACCTTTTCGGACGTTATATCATCGACTCGACACACAGTGGTCCCAAACTCGATCATTTTGGTCATAATTCTGTAACTCCGTTATTTTTCATCAGATTTTCTTGTTTCTTTATTTTATAACATCACAAATAAATATACTTCATTATCAGTGCAATGAATATAGATCTTATCAGGAATAATATATGAAAATGTAAAAATAAATGACACTATTGTAGATAACGTGATATATGTTATTATGAAATTTAATAATTTTTTTTTTCGAGTAATAGAATTTCTTATTTTAGTTCCTAAAGAAATTTATATATATATATATATATATATATATATATATATATATATATATATATATATATATATATATATATATATATATATATATATATGTATGTGTGTATTTGTGTGAATATACGTGAAATAAGATATTATAACATATGCTTTTTTTAATCTTGATAAATTTAAAAGTTTTTGAGCCATTTTAATAAAACAAACTACACTAAAACACACGTTTCTTAGAAAATTGCGGTGGAATAAGTCAATTCTCCGTAATCGCTAATAAACTTTCAGTTCCCCTCAAAGGGGACAGCCCTCAAAGGATTAAATAAATGTTTGAAAATTCAAACATTTGGCTTCTAAACATTTTCTGCTTATAAATATTTATATATGAAAATTTTAAACTTTGTTTTCATAATACAGTGCAAAGAATGGTTGTACAATTATGTGTATAGCTAAAGTTAACGGCGTAAAGTATCGCAAGAGATTTTTTCAGTCAAAAATAATTCCTATCAATTAGTTATTTATAAAACCAAACCAAATTTTAGGAAATATTTTTTGTGAAAAAAATTCAAAATGGTTTAACATTTAAAGAAGTACATTTGTCATATATGCAGTAATTATAAATTTGACGTATTGAGGCAATCAAGTTTATTTATAAAATAAAATTTTTTGTTTTTATATTCAAGTTGTTTAAGAATTTCCTCATTATCCGTTCCTACCTTTCTAACAGATACTTCAAAGTAAATAAAAGTAATGTCTGTTCATCTCTCTTTGCTCAATCGGCAGGCGATCCATAAGGTAGTATCCTAGGTCCTATCCTCTACACGCTTTATACAGCTGACATCCCAATCCATCCTGACACTGTCGCCGATGACACATGCTTGCTATCTGTTAATAATGACCCTTTAATTGCATCCCAAACTCTTCAATCACACATCGCAAGCCTTAAAAAATGGTGTGAAAATTTTTGAATAAAAATAAATTCCAATAAATCTCATCAAATCAACTTTACCCTCCGTTAGAAATCCGTATTCCTGATGAGCAAATCCGCTACTTAGGACTCCACTTGGATGAACGTCTTACTTGGAATCCTCATACTAGACAAACGACAAGAAACTGCTCGACGTTTTCGACTGCTCCAATACTTACTACATAACTATAATAAGAACTATATAGACGCACAGAGTTGAGCTTTGGGGCTCCACCAAACCATCAAATTCCTATCGTATCCAATCCTTACAATCCAAAATCCTTCTTAAAATCCTTAATGTCCCATACATTGTCACAAATAAAACCATTCATAAAGACCTTAACGTACCATATTTCGCTGATTTAGCCCGAGCCAGATATCTATCCTTTCATGATAAACTCCATTTCTATCCGAATTCACTTGTTTCTAGCCTTGCTTCTTCTTGGATTCCTGATAATCCTCCTGGGCGTCTGAAAAGGAGATGGCCTCGGAATCATCTTACCTAGAATTATTTAGGGAGTGCTTCCACTGGGTAGTATCTGTTCATGTCATTATTTCGAATTTTTGCATATTTACTCGTTGTATTTATATACAGTAGTAAATTTCATTAAATAAACAAAACAAACAAAAAGTTATTAAAAAATAATTACAATTGACTTTTTCCCCACAAAAAGCCCAAGTCCTGAGTTAAATTAACTTTCATAACGAACTGGTTTGAATAGAGCTAACGAAATGGGGTTGGATGGTCTCGGAATTCTCAAGGTAATTTTTCGCTTAACATTTAGGCCAAGTTGTAAGGCTCGACGGAGTAAGTGGGACGCGGAAGTTTCATTAATTTCTTATTTAATTTCCTCACACAGCCCGATAAAATGCCGGAGTACTTTCCAACATCTCAACCTAGTGAAGAAAAAAACAACAAAAACTTTGTTGAAAAATATAAAATAGTAAAATGAGGTCGCCGGAAATTTAAAAATGTCAATTAATCCAGTGATTGTATAGTTTACACAAACAAACAGAATGTCTATCAAAGTAATTATATATTTATACATATTGGAAAACAGAATTTATAGTTATGTAAATTTATTTCATATACTAGAAGAACGACCCAGATTAACAAAAATTAATTTTTCATAACAATACTTATTTACCAAAGTTTATGAAAAGTTTCCACTCATCATTGCAACTCAATGTGGCAAATACAATCATAACCTACACGGAAAATTTAATTTAAAAATAAATATCAAAGATTAATATGACATGACAGTGCCTTTTGAAGAAGTTACTCAATTCCTTCCCCAGACCATTTTATTTTAAAGATCCTCCTACATTCCAAATTAGAAGGACAAAGATTGGCTGTAAGTCTCCTGGTCGAATGTAAATATTGTACATAGGTATGGATGTGTTTAAGAAGATTTTTTTCTATACTCACCTTCAATCTATTATTTTATTTTTTTAAATTATATGTATTTTTATATTATTTTAAATTATTTCCCTTTTAAATAAATATATATTGTATGAATGGCCACTTATAGCTCTTATACATAATACCTTTTAATATGGCGGATTTTATTATTATTGAATATAAAAACCAGGCGCTTTATGTGGAATTCGATTGTGTGAATTCGATTATGAACAGGAATTTATCAAAAGAGCTATATGACGAAATATAGAATGCATTTACATATCCGACAACAAGACAGTAAAATTGTCTAATATCAAATGCATTTAATCCATGCCGTCCAAAGTCCTCCGAACAATAGTCGATGTTCCGTTTTATTTAACCAACGAAACCCTACACCCTGATCTTAATATCCCATTTGAATTAGACCTTACTCCAGACAAATTCTCCAAATTTCACCGGAACCTTACTTATCATCAAAATTCCCTTGCACAATCTCTATATAGCACCCATCCCTATAATCCTCCTAGAAGGTTAAAACGGCAGTGGCCCCGCGACCTTTTAAAGTTTGTATATTTTGGAGTAATGGCAATGCCCAGATTCTCCACTCAAGACATGAGTGTATGTGGGTAAAGCGCACGCGCTCAATCTCTACTAGGTTTAGCACCAGTGAAGCGGTTGAGAGAATAGTGAAATGAAATAAAAATGAAAACAATTTTTTATTATCCTGGGACTGTTGTCTCTTTAGGACAAATTATAGATAAAGAAAAAATGTCTGTGAGGCAATACATTAAATTAAATACTTACAAATCTCAATAAAATTAAAATATTGGAAGAAGAAAAAAAAATCACTGAAAACATACAGATATATATAAAACGAACATGGGGAAATAAAAGGACATAAGTAAACAAAGTCATTTCTGGGGGAACTTAAAAAGTTTTCTTATCTATATTTCGTGATCAATCGGGTTGGGAAATGAGTAGGTGCTTAAAAAGGAGAGATTTAAATGAGGAAACTAATTGTGCATGTTGGATACCGGGAAGGATGGTATTCCAGAAGAAGACGGCTTGATTTGTCAAACGAAGCAGTTTGGTGAGGAGGTGGAAGGTCAGAAGTACGAGATCTATTGGGACGGGATTGAATTGAATATTTAAATTGCAGGCTGTGAAAAATATAGAAAGGTAGCTGGATTCTGATGGCTGGATATAGAAAGGTAGCAAGGAAGTACAGACGGCGATTGGATGGATAGAGACATTTAAACTTGGTGTAATACTGGATTGTATGCGTATCTCTTGAGATTCCGAGAACAAAGGGTATTGCTCAATTCATTTGACGTTTGAGTTTGGCCTCGAATTCTACCGAGAGTCCGCTGTACACCAGACAGTCGAAGTGGGAGAACAAAAGAGAGGAAACCAGGAGTTGGCGGGATATATATGGAAGGAGATAGCGCAGACGGTTAAACTGTTTCAGGGTGAAGATAGTACGACGGGAAATTTGGGAGATGTGTG